GTACCTTCATTATAAAGAAAAAAAAATTTTAGATTTTGTGCACGCAATAAAACTATTACTTGATGAAAAAAATAATTTCTGCTCCTGCACTGGAGCACGTTCCGCGAGAACCAGCTTGTAACGAAAGATTCAATGCTAATTTATCTACAGAATTTTACCATACAACCGCATACACATATCTATTATAGTTTAAAAAATATTATCAATGTTATTATTATTCTTTGTTACTTTTGTTTCCAGTTTGTTTTACTAAAACACTTTTGAATAATGGATATCCTTTAGAATTGATATTTAGACAATTTCATTTAAAGATTAAAAAATTTTTTTCAATAAAAATTCAATTTATGAATAATAATAGCAACAATCATGATAATGCTAATGATGCAGCTCTCAACATAAAAAAGTTTTTTGTGCTGCCATTCATCCACAATGTTACAAAATCTGCTACACGTTTGATTAGTAAGGCTGTTTATAATATAGGTTACAGATGTATAATAAATAGATTTATAAAAGTATACAAAGATAAAAAAGAATTTTTTGACAATAATAATGTAGTTTCCAAGATTCTATGCAACGACTGTGACGCCTTCTATGTGGATCAGATTAATATTAATAAACGAAACTTAAATTATTATTAATATTAATAAGTATTAATTAATATTAATAAGTATTAACAATAAAAAACTTGATTTATCTATCTAGATATTCTGTTATAATAGATCTATTACAATATATCTATTACAATATAACACAGTTTTGATTGGAAGAACGTTAAAATATTAGGTACAAAATAATCAATTTACAATAAGAGACTTATTTCAGAAACATTACACATAAAGGAACAGAAAAACGATATAAGTCAAAAAAAAAGATACGGAATCTCGTAATGACATACATATTTATTAAATTTCTAATAAAAACAAAGATAACTTTTAGTTGGTTCTTCGTTTATCTGACATTTATATGAGGCATCATTCGAATTATATCATCGTTACGAGTAGGTTCTGTTTCTATATTATACTAACGCAGTGATATTAACAATGAATAATATTACATCGATATATTGGTTTTAAATAAGAGTGCAGTAAAATGTACACGCATATGTTTCATACATTTTACCTTCACAATTATTGTAAGTGTTTTAAAGGAGAAGAGTCTATAAGGATCCTCCTCCTCCCAAATATTGATCTTTTTTTTGCATCTTGCAATGTATTGTTCTAATCTATAATTCTAACAAATAAGAGCATCGGCATTAAATGTAAAGAGAATTGAGAAAATTCTGCTGTTCCAGAATGATTCAGATAATTTTCCAATACGATTACTATTTTTTAAGTTTTTCAATAAAACATGTATATTTAAAATATTAATTTCCGCATAAATATGGCAACATCACCGCAGCGTTTAAGCTAAAATTATTTAAATTGAATATAATTGTTTTCAAGGAATAAATTTTCGTGAGTTTGGATAGAATCGAAATCGGCTCTTATCCGACTTTCCTCCTTTCTATAGTTTATTATTTCTGGAGACACTGGTAGTGTCTCGGCGCTATACGCAGCGACACTGCCGTGGCTACTTTACGCGAGCCGACGAGTTGCACCAGACCCAGATCATCGAATCTCAATAAGGGCCGATTAAATTCTAAATGTGCTCAATTGATTGCGACCGATCGCGATATAAAGGATCTTTCAACAAGGACACTCGATTTTTAAATGTACATAAAACAAGTTGTGTGTGAGATATCCACTCAATTTTTTTGTATTTGAAAGAATATTTTATGGTATTAAGTATTCGGGCGGTCCAATTTTCGATGATTTTCTCGCATCTGGCTGAATTTGCTGGCGTTTGTTATGTTGACTTTGAAAGCATTGTCACTTTGAGATCAATTGTTTGCGGTTTATTCGTATAAACTTGCGATTTAAGATAGTCCCAAAGGAAAAATTCTAAAGGCGTTAAATCGCACGATCTCGGTGGCCAGTTCACATCGCCGCCGCGCGAGATAACCATGCCCTCAAATCGCTCGTGCAGAATATCCATCATAGCATGCGGTGTGGCACGTAGCACCATCCTGTTGGAATCACATGTTATTGGTATCCACATCATCCATTTTAGGCCACAAGAAGTTGCTTATTGATCTGTAGCGCTCGCCGTTGATGATTATGGCAACGCCCGCTTCGTTTTGAAAGAAGTACAGACCGATGATTCCGCCAGACCAAAATCCGCACCAAACAGTGACTTTCTCGGTATACATTTGGAGCTCGGTATACATATCTCGCATGGATTAGTATCGTCCCAAATTCGACAATTTTGCTTGTTCATATATCCATTCATCCAAAAATGGATCTCATCGCTAAAGATGATTTGTTTGGCGAATTTGGGTTAACTTCCAATTGCTCCAGAACTCAATCAGCGAACACACGGCGTTGTCTATGGTTGTCATTTACTTTAAGTTCCTGGGTCAGTTGAATTTTATAGGGGTGACCCAAGTCCCGACGCAAAATTCGCCAAGTTGAAGTCGCAGAAAGGCCAAGTTCTTGTGAACGATGAGAAATTGACCGCCTCGGATTTTCTCGTACACTCTCACGCACAGCAGCGATGTTTCAGCAGACTTTGCGTTTCGGTGACGTACTGGTGTTGGCTGATTTATTGAACCAGTTGACTCGAATTTAGCCATCAAACGTCGAATAGCCGACTCGGTCGACTGTGACACAAGACGATTGTGGCGAGGATAAAAATTACGTAATACACGGAATGTTTCTCGAACGGAGCACTGATTTTGATAATAAAATTTTATAATTTGTGTATGTTGCTCAATACTATGACCTTCCATGGTGATTTGCCATACACTACTAAACAATTCATAACAAATTTGACAATGTCACTTTAACAACATGGCTACTATGATCTAACAAATTTCGAGAGTTCCTATTTAAAGACCCTATATAATGAAAGTGTTTTTATTTTTACTATGTGATCTATGAGCAGAGATATTACGCAAAATACGAATCTGAAACTTTTATATTAAGAAACGTCGTCATCATTGTCGTCATCGCTACGGAGTAAGGGAAATGTCTTTTTGGAATTTTTGGCGCAAGAGGCAAACATGGCACTGATAATGCATGGTCATTACACATGTCTGTTTTCTATGGCTGATGCTGAACTAATGTACACTTTTGGAATTGAAGTGAGATAGTTTAGGTTAGGAAATCACATCGATGGCATAGAGAAACACGTAAATGAGGTTAAAATAAGTATTTTCTGCTTCTGCAATTACACAAATTCTCTGCTTTAAAAACAAATTTTCTATTGTAAAAACAAAAATTATATAGAAAATATTATAAACAGCATTTTTAGTTAGAGGCGAAGGCAAATATATAGCGGTCAGCGGTTCTGTTTTTAGTTGTTGCGACGCAAAGATGCATGTATGGGATTAATCTAAATAAAGATTATTATGAGAATCTTCATGATTATATTATAACTTTATCGAAAGATAAAATATTTTCAGATTCTCTTACACTTTTTCTATAGATGTATTCAAATATTAATTTCTTTTTCCATGTGCAAAGATGTTCCTATGGTCGAGCAAGGTGTTACACTCGTAAAATGTGTATCACAGAAAACTTATGATAAATCCGACCAGAGTGATGATTATTGATGAAGATTGTAAGGTAATATACGAACATTAGTCAAGGTGCAAAATTCAATTAATTACAATACAAGATAAATTATAAAATAGAAGAATTATATAATGCGAGGTGTACAATATAGAAATCGTAGCGATCGTAGTTTTATTTCCTACGACTCAAGACTTTACGACCGCTATAACTTCTATTGGATATGTATTTATGTATACGATAGAAATTTTTTATGTTATAATAGGTTTTCAGAAATTATGGAAGAAGACATAAAGGACGTGACGACAAATATTTTAGATGTACAAGTTAAACTTCTCACAATATTCTCAGATAAAACGATCTTGGTAAGTCTCAGTTGATTCAAAGCTTTAAAGTTGCTATACGATATTGTCGTGGATACTACGTCATGTTTCTGCACAGAAATGGATATCCACAAAAAAGAGCATTGAAACTAATTCTATAATATTTAATTCTATAATATTTATAGGTAGTGTAGATATGACTTGGACAGTAGGAGAAGTCTTAGAAAAGAGATTATAACCGTTGCTATTCATTCATTCGCGCTCAGTGATATGATCACAGCCAGCAGCAATTTAGATCAGATTGTGACATGTATAAACATTGGTTGAGAATGATATGCGGCTATACAATTTTCAAAATGCGAAGAGAAAGTTAGTAGGGTATATCTTAGGATATACAATACTATATCAACTTCTTTCTGATTGGTCTATGATCGCAAGTCAGGGGGAATG